AAACACCGGAGCAGGTCTGACTGATGTTGCCTGATGTGATGGATGCCCCACATCCCAGCATTAAAACAACAACAAAAAAACCCACCCCACAAGAAAATAAACATCTGGCACACATGGCTGCAAGTGAATTTGATTCGCTGTAGGAACAGCAGGGATACACTTCAAAATGAGGGAGCGTGGGCAAGCAGCGTGTGAGGTACAGCCAGAGGGTGACCCAGGGAATGAAACTACCATCTTTTTGGAAACAGGACCCATTTCCAGCCCAACCACCTTCAGTTCTCCGTTAATGTCTCTGTGACAAATGGAAAGCTCTGGACAAAAAATATTGCAGTGGCAAGGAAATAAATTAGGGCACTGCATGGTACCTGCAAGTGGGAGCAACGTCCTCCCTCTACCTTCATTCCTGAGAAACTGAACCAAAGAAAGTCTCCAGCCACTCGGGAGCGTGCGGGAGACAGCGCTGGTGGTGTGCTGGTAAGTTCTGGCAGTAAGCACGGGCAGCAGCAACCTTCCTCCTCTGGCAAGAGGAACTGCGGTCCAGCACTGAAGCAGACGAACAAACGTGTTGAGTTACCTCAACAGGTAACAGTGAGGGACAGAGAAATGTCATCGGATATTATTTAATGGGAATCTCCCTCGTTAGCAATGCACCTTTTGCTCTGCTACTACCCTTCCAGTTTACAGCTCAGCTGTAAAACGCAGCTATATGCAATTTTAGTGACTTATTTTTTAATTCTCTCTTGCTTCTGTCACATGCAGGTGGAACCTGCGTGATCTTCAGAAGCCTGAAGAAGGACACCATTGATAACCAAAGCTCTGGAAGCAGAAAGTCTTCAAGAACTGAAATGCAGAAGTTTTCCAGCAGTTCTTTATTTATAATGTAGGCTTAAGCAATCATTACAATGTAGAAGGGAGACACACTTACAGCAATTATTTATACAAGTTTAGAACAAAAAACTGCACAGGGAGAGGTCAACTCTCAGTACAAACTAGCAACTAAACCACAATAATTTACCATTAGAAACATTTTATTTTTTAGCTGTGACACTGCTTTTACAATATGCAAAAACACAAACAATAGAACTATCCAAAGTGTTTTGTCACATTCTTTCTACATTGAATTTGGCAACATTTTATATTAAATTTTACGGATTATACTAACGTTTAAGAACTAAACAAGTGAAGAGCTGTACTCAGGTACAGTTACATCCATTTATTTCAAAGGCTTAAATAACACTTTTAACTATTATCTCCTAGCAGTTTTTGTTTATGCAAAAACCATCTCAAAGCCTCATTTGCACAATGCATCAGCTACTGTATCAAGATTGGTGGGCTACACCGCAGGCACTACTGTTTATTATATCCTGTAATAAGGAGCTTGTTTTTCAAAGAAAGGAAGGTTTAATATTTTCTAAGAATCATGCCTTTTTTTTTTTTGCTTTTTGCTTTTAAGCCATAACAAAAAATAAAAAGGTTAGCAACCACAGCAGTGTAAAATGTTATACAGAACACAGTGACTACACAGTTACTAGAAGTTTCACATCCAGTGCAGTTATGTATTAAAGCATAAGAGGTTATGTAGGCAAGTCTAGAGCCAAGAGAAATCTGCAGAGCGTGTGGTGGAAACTCGCCCCTTCTCCGCATGATTTGGTGCATTTTGGGACAACCCCGGACGCGCAGGTCTGGTGTCCACCCACGCCTGGGTCTGCTGTGGGTGGGCAGATGGCGTCCGTCTGACTGTCTGATGGGGACACGGGTCATGCCCTGGGGTCTGCATATTTCTATCAGCTTTAGGAGACGGGTATTGCAGCAATAACTTACTTTAAGGAAAAAATCCAACTCTTAATAATTCTATCAATAGCGTTCCAAAAACATGACTTAAAGTACAAAAAAAGAGAATATAGTGGTCAGACTCCCAGTTATTATCAAAAAAACAGTACCTCTCCCCACCCCCCACCCTTCACCCCTTTCTTTTCGATATTTAAGAAAAGCCAATCGACTGCCATGTAAAAGAAGTTAAGAAAAACAAGCCCCTGTATTGGAAAGAAACATTTGCAGTTTATTAGATCACAAGCTGGTTACACCTGTCAAATTGTTAAGTGTTTTCTCAAAATATTTGGGCTTTCCAAGGTGCCCAGCCTGCTGGGCACAGTCAGAAAAAGGCATTTTGATAATATCTAAGAACTCCCTGCTTGCATTTTAAAAATGTTTTCACATTTGTAACTGCCTTAAGCTTGTCGTCCTTGTTTGTATTCAGTGAAAGGATGAGTGGTGGAACGGAAAGGGAAGGTGGAAGAACCAAGCCTACACAGTTAAGGCTGCATGCATGTGACTGAGAGTTGATGCTGTGCAGTCAAAAAAGAAACGTGGAAAAAACCCCAGTCTTTAGAACACCCTACAGAAACAAAACACTGCAATCCAGTATGGCTTATTCTGATGCATTTACCATGAAGCTACTAGTAATTAATCCTACTAGGCTACTTTTGTGCAACAGCATCTGCTATTCTGATGGCATCTCCCTCCCCCCACTACCCCCCAAATATTCTACAACTGCAGGTTTCTTCCTTGCATTATATATTGCTTTTGTTATCAATTTTTATTCCTGCTTTTCAAACTTTTTGTTTTTTTAATACTTAAATGCGGATCTGTTCCTTACAGCTTGACTCAAACTTTAAAATAAGTCCCATTGTTTTGTTTTGTTTTTTTAACCTCACCATTACAAGGCGCTCTACAAAAGCTTGCAAAAAAGCCAAATTTTCATTAAATCCCTTTGCTGAAGTTAACTACTCAACTTTTTTTTTTTTTTTCTTCTATGATTTAAAACTTTACAAAGAGAGTTATAAAAAAGGTAAATGGGATTTGGCACCTTCAGAAAAATTAAAAGTGTAACTTAGATCAAAAAAATGCAGAAACAAAATAATTGATATTTACAAATTAAAACACCAGTGAAGATTATGTCTTACTACGCTCTTTCACCTTGTTTTCTCTTCTAGAGTACTTTCAGACTGTCTGTTACCGAGTATCTTAAAAAAATTCATTGATTACAGATTGGAATGGATAGAGACAAATTAGTTTCCTCACAGTTCCTTCTCGGCGGCTAGTACTCTGTCAGCTTTTCCACTCCTAGGAAATACGAGGTGCTGAGCGATCATTCGTGGTCGTCTTCTTCAGTTTGACACCACGCCGAATGGCGTTCAGCATGTCTTCACCTTGCGGGACGTCCCCGGGGCTCAGCTCTGCGGGATCGAGCTCCGGCTGGCCCGCGGGCGCCAGGGGGCTGACGCCATCCCGGTCGCTCTCTTCCCCCTCGCTCTCGGGAACTGCCTGCCTCTGCTCGTCGGCAGCGCTCAGTTTCTGGCTGGATGGCGGAGGGTTGACAGATGCTTGTCCGCTCCATGAGGATGAGGGCATGCTGGTGACACCTTGCCCACCATCTCCTGCAGCCGGAGACTCGGGACCTTGCTCAGGACATTCTTCTGTCCCAGTGAGGGCGCCGGGCAGCCCCCCTGGGATATCGGGGACAGTTGGTGTTTTGACAGGAATCACTGGCGTCTTGATCGGAATGGGACCTCCCCCGATGGTTCCGCGTCTCACTGAGGGCTTGGTGGATGGGGTCCGTCTGATGGTGGCGACGCCGGGGGTGACTATGACCGGTCCAAGCGTGGTTGGCAGACCTGCGGTGGAAGCAGGACGCTTGGTTTGAAACATTCTGCGATAGGA